TGATCTACTTTGCCTTCTAATTCCCTTAACCTGCGACTCACAACATGCGTACCTCGTGCATCCGATTTCGAAAATATGTGGAGAAAAGTTGCCCAAGGCCATTAATGTTGCATTTGAGGACCACTTTCATAAGGTATGCGTGGAAGACAATATAAGTTAGATTGCAGTTCAGCCAGTTTAGCCTCGTCAATTAATGAAGGAGCATGGAAGACACCCTTCACATGTCAAGCGGGCAATTTTTGCAAACCACGCGACTGGGCGTGCAACATCGACCCGATCCTCCTCAAACCTTATTCATTTGCATAACTTGGCCATGATTCTCGAGCAAAAGACGTATGCCTCTAACCAATCTCCCCTTTCCAGGGGTAGACAAGAAAATCGAGCATCCTCTTATGCAATTAGCTTGCTGCTTCTTAGGGCGCGATTCTTCTCAAAGCATGCTGCTCTGCCAAGAAGGTGTTTGGATACTTTCCCACAGGAACCGTTGCCTAAAGCACTAACTGGGCTCACATTCATTACCTCGAAAGGCTTATTAGACCTTAGCAACAACTCACTCAAACTCTGATCACAACTCAGAACTAAATATACATATTTCTGTAATAAAAATATAAATGCAATATTTTGTAATGAATTGGATCAGCAATTGGGTACCACCTGTGTTTTATGGCACATTGGTGAACTATTAGTGCCAATTTACAGCCAACGTAAGCACTTGTAGAAAAACTTTGAAATTCCCACACCTGTACAAGGAGTATGGGAGCCTTCGCTCCTATCTAGGCAGATCACGTTCTCTGCCCTTGCAGTCAAACAAAGTGATACGCGCCTAAGAGTGAGGATTATAAGGCGGTTTAGGGATTAATTCGTAGGAAGCACAAGCACCTCTCCATCACAGTATCCAGTACCCTGCTTACCTTGTCTCGTAATTGTGTACATAAGTGGATTAACTGTCCATAAAACGACAGTTGCATAGTAGTTCTAAGTTGAACTATGCCACCGTCTGCTGACTACATAAAATGCCTTATTTGATCGAGTTCTTGTTGTTGACCATGTACCAGTGAATGACAATAAAAGCAGTGCAACCAGTAATGCAGCGAGGTCATTTAGGACCTGTCAGTTCCAGGCAGATTCAATTCAACTCCAAATTATTCGTGATGGCCCTTTGTACGCCTTGGAAATTATCCCAGCATAGAAACTGAAACAGAG